ATAAGTCGAATAAGTGTGCAAAATATTTAAATTGTATTTTCGGATCCTGAACGAGACCGCCGCCAGAGCGCGTCTCCCCGTTACCTGCAGAAGGAAGCCATGCACGCAGCGCAGCCCCGCTCTGTTTAACTCCAGGTGACTTTCTGCCGCTTTCCTCCGTGGTGCAGGGCTGATCGTTTCACCACAGAGGAGAGCACAAACTGCAGTACCCATAAGGAGCTGTACAAATTGCGCAGTTTTTGCGTGGCTGTGTCTTTAGTTGAAAGCCCAGTGGCGATCTGCTCATCTCTCATTGAAATAATATGCTACAAAGGGGCGGACTGGTCATCTGTGTGTTGAACTTTCCTGTCGGCTCCCAGACCGTAGTCGAGGAGGGCAGAAGCAACAAGCTTCAGGTTCAATAACCCACTTTAGCTTAAATGACTGGAGAGAGGCGAGCTCTTCTTGGGAGGCCGTTGCATTTATTTAGCTGTTCTTCTGTTTCACAAAATACAAGGTTCAAGGTTCAAGGTTCAAGGTTCTTTATTGTCAATCTGACATAGCTACAGAGTAATTATGCAGTTGAAAATCTTATGTCACAGGCTTCTCCAACAATGCAACATAATAACATAACATAATAACAATAAGAGCAAGAGCAATACAAAAATAATAATAGTTATAAAAATGAAATAAAGTTATGATGTGGAATAGTGCAGTATGAGTCTATATACAAGTTATTGGAATGATATATATATATTAGGTATTAGATACATACTACTGAGTAGCAGTTGAATGTTTGATGTTGTTTCAACAGTTCAATTGTTTAACAGTCTCACTGCCCGCGGGAAGAAACTGTCTCCGAATCTTCTTGTCCTTGCCCGGATGCTGCGGTAACGTCTGCCAGACGGCAACAGAAAGAACAGTTTGTGGCTGGGGTGATGGGGGTCTTTGATAATCCGTAGTGATTTCTTCCTGAGCCGCTGGGAGTAAAGGTCCTCCATGGATGGCAGCTCCGTCCCGGTGATGTGCTGTGCAGTTTTCACCACCCTCTGTAAAGCCTTACGATCGAGGTCGGTGCAGCTGCCGTACCAGGCCGTCATGCTGCCAGTGAGGATACTCTCTATCGTGCACCTGTAGAAGTTGCAGAGTATCCTGGAATCCATTTTGAACCTCCTCAGCCTGCGGAGGAAGAAGAGCCGCTGTCGAGCTTTCTTGGTGATGGTGGTGGTGTGAAGAGACCATGTCAGGTCCTCAGTGATGTGGACCCCAAGGAACCTGAAGCTTTTGACTCTCTCCACCGTAGTCCCATTGATGGCGATGGGGGCGTGTCCCTCTCCCTGCTGCTTCCTGTAATCCACAATCAGCTCCTTTGTTTTGCTGATGTTGAGATGGAGGTTGTTCTCCTGGCACCAAGATGTCAGGTTTTCGACCTCCTCTCTGTATGCCGTCTCGTCATCGTCTGTGATCTGGCCGATGACGGTCGTGTCATCAGCAAACTTCACGATGGTGTTGGAGCTGTGTGTGGCCACGCAGTCGTGGGTGAACAGGGAGTAGAGGAGAGGGCTGAGCACGCAGCCTTGAGGGGCACCGGTGTTAAGAATCAGGGTGGAGGATGTGATGTTTCCCACCCGCACTGCCTGGGGTCTGCCCGTCAGGAAGTTCAGGATCCAGTCGCAGAGGGCGCTGTTGAGCCCGAGGTCTCTGAGCTTGATGGCCAGCTTGGAGGGCACAATGGTGTTGAATGCTGAACTGTAGTCAATGAACAGCATTCTCACATATGTGTTCCTGTTCTTCGGGTCCAGGTGTGAGAGGGCAGTGTGGAGGGTGAGGGCTATGGCGTCGTCTGTGGACCTGTTTGCTCTGTAGGCAAACTGCAGGGGGTCCAGAGATTCAGGGAGGGAGGAGGTGATGAATAATTTGACTAACCGCTCAAAGCACTTCATTATGATGGAGGTGAGTGCTACTGGGCGGTAGTCGTTGGGGGCAGGTGATGATTGTCTTTTTGGGGACAGGAATGATGGTGGAGTGTTTAAGACATGTGGGGGACTACAGACTGCAGCAGGGACCTGTTGAAGATGTCTGTGAACACCTCTGCCAGCTGAACTGCACACACCCTGAGAACACGGCCAGGGATGCCATCAGGTCCAGGAGCCTTGTGTGGGTTAACCCTTTTAAAGGATTACACACATCTGCCCTATTTAAAACAAAAGGGCAGTGTAGCTCCTGGTCCCTCTGTACCTCCACAGCCTGGCTGCTCTCAAAGCGTGCAAAAAAACTATTTAGCTCATCTGGGAGAGATGCGCACGCAGACACTCCCGCAGCACCCCCCCGCTGCTCCTTTGTAGTCAGTCATTGTCCTTAGTCCCGCCCACATATTCCTAGTGTTACAGCCTTTGAAGTCAGATTCCACCTTCTCTTTGTACTGTCTCTTTGCATTTTTTATTGCTCTCCGGAGATCATACCTAGACTTCCTGTACTCCTCCAAATCTCCCGCTGTGTGCGCGAGAGTGCGCGCTTTCAGTTTGCCGCGCACCTCACCGTTTACCCAGGGCTTTTGATTTGGGAATGTCCGTACAGAAACCTTCGTACCACGTCATCGATGCATTTCCCAATGTAGCAGATGACAGTGTCCGTGTGTGTGTTGATGATACATCACAGACCTCTGTTTTTCTGCTGCCTCGTTTCACTTCCAGAAACATACACACGCTCCCTCACTGTCGCTCTACCATCCACACACACACATGCGCACGCCACACCCCTCTCTCTCTCTCTTAAAGGGACAGCGATCTCATCTCACTCTGCATGACCCTAATATCATAACATGTGTGTTCTGGAGAATCACAGAACGGACGATCGTCCTTATTATTATGCCGTTTAAACCAATTATTTAAATGGCATCATGTAAGTTGTGCTGACAGGCATACTTGCCAACCCTCCCGATTTTCGCGGGAGACTCCCGATTTCATTGCCCTCTCCCGGTTTCCTCCCGGGGTCATATTTCTCCCGCATTTCTCCCGATTTCTGACAAAATCAGATTTACTCAGGACTGTTCCACTCGGACTTTAATACAGCTACACCATTGTTTGGTTTCCATGGTAGCGTAGCGCGCGCAACTGAAAGTCTGAGAGGGTGAGGAAGATAGTCACAGCAAACAGAACAAGAATCGACAATTCTACCCTCTGCTTACTCCTTTCCTGTAAAATACAGGTCCAGCCCACACGTTGATAATTCTCGATCGTTGGCACGCCGATAACAATTTTTTTTTTTAATGGCACTTCATATCAAAAAGGTTGCCGACCCCTGAGCTAGACCTTTATTTTGCATCTGAACTTCATGTCACAACAACATGCACGAGGAGAAGAATACCGGCGGAAACCCTAAGCCCGCCTCACTCAAATGTCCGTGCGAAACAATACAGTACAGTAGATCTGTGGGTGGATAATGTCAATCACCACAACATATTTCTTAATTAAAGCTCCAGTATTTATGAATATGTTTGGTATGTCTTTTAGGTACATTTGTTATTGATCGAGTAAGCGCTTTTATTTTGAAGGCAGTTTTTCCAGGCCTCTACCGTAATGCAGAGGACATTCGCGCACCGCAAAACAACGTGCGGGCTGGCTTGACCGCAGTATTTTAATCAAAACATGTTCTAGGGTGTACTTTGGAATTCGACCCTGGTGCAATGAGTTTTATTGTGAAGGCAGTGAGCGGAAGTGACGCAGTTAGCTGCAGTTAGCCGCTGTGTTTGTGTTCCTCTGCAAAGCTCGGAGCATCAGAGAGCGGTTCTTCTCCAGAGAGTCGGTACCATGGATGTATAATAAGCTCCGTACCCCTTAGTACCCCTCGGTACCCCGCTGGACCCAGCTGCTGCATCTCCTGCACCGTGAGTAGCTTCACAGTTAGACAGAGATATAGCTGCTGTGATCCCGATAAACCATAGCTCGGCTAAGCTAGCGGGTTCCATCATCGGACACCGTTAATCCGGCAGCAGAGACTCAGAGTCCGGTAACACCAGCTGTTAATGACAACAGTTTACACATGGTTTATAACAACACTGTGTGTGTGTGTCAGGTCTGTTAACAGAGCAGAATGATTAACAGCTGATCAGCTGACTGCAGCTCACCTGCTGACACACACACACACACACACACACACACACACACACACGTATACTAATTACAGTGTGATGTAGCCCCCCCTCCCGATGGCCAGCGCTACACAGACACATGTTAATGTGTACATGTTGTTGTTTACATGTTGTTGTTTACTTGTTTACAGTGTGATGTAGCCCCCCCCTCCCAATGGCCAGCGCTACACAGACACATGTTAATGTGCACATGTTGTTGTTTACATGTTGTTGTTTACTTGTTTACAGTGTGATGTAGCCCCCCCTCCCAATGGCCACGCTGAGGGTCTTTCTGCTCGGCTGCCTCGTGTCCTCTGCCACCTGGTCGGTGCTGCTGCTGCTCTACTTCTCTTTAGGGGCGGAACCACGGCCCCCCCCTGAAGCCCCGCAGCCAGCCAATCACCAGAGACCTGGCCCCACGGGGGGCGGGGCCTCGGCTGCAGCCGTCCAATTGGGGAGCGGAGCTATCGCCGGAAATGGGTGATTGCAAATCTTAGTTTATTTTATAAATCACAAAGTTTATTATAAATGCGTTTTATATTTATATGTGTGTGACTGTTGTGTGTGTGTGTGTGACTGTGTGTGACTGTGTGTGTGTGTGTGACTGTGTGACTGTGTGTGACTGTGTGTGTGACTGTGTGTGACTGTGTGTGTGTGTGTGGTGTGTGTGTGTGTGTGACTGTGTGTGACTGTGTGTGTGACTGTGTGACTCTGTGTGTGTGTGTGACTGTGTGTGTGACTGTGTGTGACTGTGTGACTCTGTGTGTGTGTGTGTGACTGTGTGTGTGACTGTGTGTGAGACTGTGTGTGACTGTGTGTGTATGTTTGACTGTGTGTGTGTGTGTGTGTGACTGTGTGTGTGTGTGTGTGACTGTGGTGTGTGTGTGTGTAGGGATGATCTTTAACGAGGCTGATCAGGAGCTCAGGGACTCGGGTTACCATCGACACGCCTTCACGTCCTGATCTCCACCAGACTGGGGTCTCACAGAGAGCTTGCCGGACACCAGAGACCCCCAGTGAGGATCTATATGATACTGTGATCAGTGAGGGGGGGGGGGGGGGGTCCTCATGGTAGACCCCCCAGTGAGAGGATCTATATTTATAATACTGTGATCCTCAGGTAGACCCCCCAGTGAGAGGATCCATATTTATACTGTGATCCTCAGTGAGAGGATCTATAGAGCTAGAGTTGTGTTAGCAGGTGTGAAGGGTCTCAGTGATGATCATGCCCCCCCCCCCCCCCCCCCCCCCCCCAGGTGTCGTGATAAGGCCTATCCTCCGGATCTACCTTCTACCAGCGTAGTGATCTGCTTCTTCAACGAGGCGCTGTCCGCCCTGCTGAGGACGGTGCACAGCGTGTTGGAACGCACCCCGACCGCCCTGCTGCACGAGGTCATCCTGGTGGACGACCACAGCGAGCTGGGTACACACACTTATATACACACTACACACACTTATATACACACTACACACACTCATATACACACTACACACAATACACACACTTATATACACACTACACACACTCATATACACACTACACACAATACACACACTTATATACACACTGCACACACTCATATACACACTACACACAATACACACACTTATATACACACTGCACACACTTATATACACACTACACACAATACACACACTTATATACACACTGCACACACTTATATACACACTATATATATACTATTTATACCCCTGTAATTATGTTGTGATGTCCTTTTTGTTTTCTGTTGTTTTTATGTGTAACCAATGTACCGCAGGTCTCCCTTGAAAAAGAGATCTTTGATCTCAATGAGATTTTTTAACCTGGTTAAATAAAGGCTACAAACAAACTACACACACCCTAACCCTAACCCAAACTACACACACCCTAACCCTAACCCACACTACACACACCCTAACCCTAACCCACACTACACACACCCTAACCCACACTACACACACCCTAACCCACACTACACACACCCTAACCCTAACCCACACTACACACGCCCTAACCCTAACCCACACTACACACACCCTAACCCTAACCCACACTACACACACCTAACCCTAACCCACACTCACACACCCTAACCCTAACCCTAACCCCACTACACACACCCTAACCCTAACCCTAACCCACACTACACACACCCTAACCCACACCCTAACCCACACCACACACACTTATATACACACTTATATAAATGTGTGTGTGTTCAGAGGAGCTGCAGGAGGAGCTGGAGCGTCATGTGGGGGGGGAGCTGAAGGAGAGAGTGAAGCTGGTGAGGAACCAGAGGAGGGAAGGACTCATCCGAGGACGCATGATAGGAGCCTCACACGCGACCGGTATTTCCTACCTCCTTAAACTGTGTCATTTCCTTACCTAAATCCTTGTTCCCTACATCCTTGTTCCCTAAATCCTTGTTCCCTACATCCTTGCTCCCTACATCCTTGCTCCCTACATCCTTGCTCCCTACATCCTTGTTGCCTACATCCTTCATCCCTACATCCTTGTTCCCTACATCCTCGTTCCCTAAATCCTCGTTCCCTACATCCTTCATCCCTACATCCTTGCTCCCTACATCCTTGCTCCATACATCCTTGCTCCCTACATCTGTATCCATGCCCCCTTGTCCCTCCCCCCAAGGTGAGGTGCTGGTGTTCCTGGACTCTCACTGCGAGGTGAACAGGGATTGGCTGCAGCCGCTGCTCACCCCCCTGCTCAAGACCATCGTACGTGGTCTGCCCCGTGATCGACATCATCTCAGCCGACACGCTCTCCTACTCGCCCTCCCCCCTCGTGAGGGGGGGCTTCAACTGGGGGCTGCACTTCAAGTGGGATCCCGTCCCCCCCGCGGAGCGCGGGCCCCAGGGGGTCACCGGACCAATCAGGTACCAGCTGACCAATCAGGAGACCAATTAGGTACCACTGACAGATCAGGAGACCAATTAGGTACCACTGACAGATCAGGAGACCAATTAGGTACCAGCTGACCAATCAGGAGATCAATTAGGAACCAGCTGACCAACCAGGAGACCAATCAGGAGACCAATTAGGTACCAGCTGACCAACCAGGAGACCAATCAGGTACCAGCTGACCAACCAGGAGATCAATTAGGTACCACTGACCAATCAGGAGACCGATTAGGTCCAAGCTGACCAATCAGGAGACCAATTAGGTACCAGCTGACCAACCAGGAGACCAATCAGGTACCAGCTGACCAATCACGAGACCAATTAGGTACCAGCTGACCAACCAGGAGATCAATTAGGTACCACTGACCAATCAGGAGACCGATTAGGTCCAAGCTGACCAATCAGGAGACCAATTAGGTACCAGCTGACCAATCAGGAGACCAATTAGGTACCAGCTGGCCAACCAGGAGACCAATTAGGTACCAGCTGACCAATCAGGAGACCAATTAGGTACCAGCTGACCAACCAGGAAATCAATTAGGTACCACTGACCAATCAGGAGACCGATTAGGTCCAAGCTGACCAATCAGGAGACTAATTAGGTACCAGCTGACCAATCAGGAGACCAATTAGGTACCAGCTGACCAATCAGGAGACCAATTAGGTACCAGCTGACCAATCAGGAGATCAATTAGGTCCAAGCTGACCAATCAGGAGACCAATTAGGTACCAGCTGACCAATCAGGAGACCAATTAGGTACCAGCTGGCCAACCAGGAGACCAATTAGGTACCAGCTGACCAATCAGGAGACCAACCTGAAGAAAGCTGACCAATCAGGGTGCAGCTTGTTGTTGATTAAACATGTTTGTTTACACCCCCCCCAGGTCTCCCACCATGGCCGGCGGTTGTTTGCCATAAACAGGAAGTACTTTAACGAGCTCGGCCAATACGACGCGGGCATGGACATCTGGGGCGGGGAGAACCTGGAGATCTCCTTCAGGGTGAGGCTCAGATTCACAGACTGTCAGTGAAGGCACCACATTATATTTATATATAAATATAATAATAATAATGATCTACTCTATAGATCTGGATGTGTGGCGGTCAGTTATTGATCATCCCCTGCTCCAGAATCGGACACATCTTCAGGAAGAGGAGACCCTACGGATCCCCGGGTGGGGGGGACACCATGGCTCACAACTCACTAAGACTGGCTCACGTGTGGATGGACGAGTACAAGGTACACACTCACACACACAGACAGACAGACAGACAGACAGACAGACACACAGACTCTCACACACACAGACACACACACACACGCACACGCACACACACAGACACTCACACACACACACAGACTCTCACACACACAGACACACACACACAGACACACACTCTAATTGTCAGAGTGGTAACTTGTTTGTAGTCCTGACCTCACTTCCTGTTTGTAGTCCTCTGACCACTTCCTGTCTGTGGTCCAATCAGGAGCAGTTCCTGTCTCTGCGTCCGGAGCTGCGTGACCGTGGTTACGGAGACGTCAGTGATCGTGTTGCGTTGAGGGAGCGTCTGCAGTGTAGGACGTTCGCGCTGTACCGGGACACCGTTTACCCGAGATGCAAACGCACGGAAACAAAAACCTGCCTTGTTCAACAACAAGAGCCTGAGGAGGCCCAAAGTCCTGCAGCGAGGCCGGGTACTGAACGCACCACACATCATCAGACCCTGAACGCACCACGCACACACACACTGTATACTAAGTCTGCAGTCACTGAACGCACCACGCATCATCACACACTGAACGCACACACGCATCATCGTTATCTCACTTCTACTCCTTTCTCTGTTGTCTCAATTCCTGTTTCAGTTGCGCTCACTCTCGTCGGGGGGGTGTTTGGGGGCCCTGGGCCGGGCAAAGTCAAAAGGGGGGGGGCTGTGCTGAGGCATGTGACCCCCGAGACCCCGAGCAGGTGACACACACCACACACACACCCACACACACTCTCGCATGTTGGTGCTGTGAGTGATAGTAGAGCAAAGTCTATATGATGTAGTGCACTGTATACAGTAAATGTATATAATGTGTATATCTGTGTATATAATGTGTATTCTGTATATTTATGTGTATCTGTAGGTGTGGTCGTACGATGAGGACGGCCAGCTGCTTCTCGCCTTCTCTCTTGTGTCTCGACCCTCTGAGGTCCGGACCCTGGACCCCCCCCGCCTGATGAAGTGCCACGGCTCGGGGGGGTCTCAGCAGTGGAGCCTGGGGGTGAGACGTGCACACACACACACACACACACACACACACACGCACACACACACACACACACTATGAAACTCACATTTAATGTAATCCCCCCCCAGAAGTCCAACCGGCTGTACCAGGTTTCCGTTGGTCAGTGTCTCTCCGTCTCTCGACTAATCAGGCCGAAGGTTCTGTTTCCAAGGGTCCATTACCATGGCGATCTGCGACGCCTCAGAGGATCAGCAGTGGCAGCTGGAGGCCTGAGCGGCCAATCAGAATCCTCCGTTGCTTCAGAACTTCCGTTTCCTCCAGGACGGCTTCAACCAATCAGAAAACTCCAACCAATCAGGACGACTTCAACCAATCAGCAGATTTTACTCTGAAATAATTGATTTGAACGGAAACAGAGTGACAGATGGGACCGACTAGGGTTTAAACCCTGCAGACCCTCACCCTTAAACTGAGGGTCTACAGGAGGTCTA